TGCTAAACCAACATACCCGCTAAACGCTAGCATGTTAACACTGTGATTGTGAACGTGTTGACGTAGCAGTTGGCTGAGGTCCTGCAGTAGCATGGCTGTAGTCACCAGAGCAGAAAACATTCACAGGGTGTTTTGATTTTTCTTTTCGTCTGATAATTTTTCACCGCAATTGTCATTTAGTTTGGTGAAACAAACACATAAGAATCTTGTCTGACTACAGTTGTGTCATGTTTTACACCAGCCACAGCTGTAGCTAATGTCAAGGAAAATGTTAACCCACTGGGCTTTTCCAGCTGATTGCAGAGGTTTCCAACATAAAGCAATCATTTTGCTGGCTGCTGTTCCTGCTGGGAGCGTGCGCCTTTTTTCAAGATGACAGATGAAGTGCTGATACATCTTGTCTCAGTCCTCGTTGCTAAGCACTCATATGTGCTACTGCTAAAGACCCGTTGTCAATCAAACACTGTGTGTGTGACTGTAAGCTGTTTTACATTTGGATTTTAATCATCATCCAGAACACATTCAGTGATTTCTGAGTCTGTCTTTAAATCTCTCCCCTGTCTGTGATCCAGACACACGCACACAAAGTCACACACTGTCCTTGCTGCCTTCAAGCTTAAGCTGCCAGTATGGCAGAACCACCGGCTTTGACAAAGGACACAAGTTCCCCTGGGTGTCAGTAGGACTGAAGCCTTGGTGCCCTGAATATACTGGAAGTGTCACTGTTTGCATGAGGGTGTGTGTTTGACTGTCTGTATATAGTTTTCAAAGGGTTGGTGTATCCTTGTTCTGTACTTATGAGGTACCAAATATACTCACAAACATAGGAAGGTGAGGGGAAATACCCTAAACATGAGGACATGCTGCTTTAAATGGTAACATGGGCAGAGCCAGGGGTGCCCAGGGGTGGCACCAGTCACCCCCAGAATCTGACTGGCCACCCCTGCTAGAGTCTAAATGTGATGCTTGTCAGTATTAATGAATGAAAAATGAAAAACAATGAGAAATTGTTGGCTTAAATACAACTACCGGTAAAATGTTTCTGGTGCTTTATAATTGATATTGGTCAAATTAGTTTTATTACACATCATGCATACAGCATGATACGTATCTGCGTTAGTTGGGGGGACCACTGTGCAGCAATGATGTCCCCAGTCAGGAGTAAATAAAGAGCACAGTCAAAGTTAGTTAAAGGAAGCACAGGTAGTGTAGCGCCAACAATAACATCATGGGTCGTTAATCCACTGGTTAACCAGCAACACATCACATGCGGCAGACACCCTGGCCTCAAGCAGCCAAAACACACAGATACTGTGCTCTGGGGAAATCCAGCATCGATGAGCTGATCATTCACTGCACCAGGTTTGCTTCACTGACTGGCTGATTGTAGGTTAGATCCAGTCGAGTCCCTGTACAGGAACTTTTCAGGCCCTGTTTTTTTCTTCACATCCTCTGGTCACAATGCAGCAGGATGTAAAATATATCCACAAAACTGGGTGACTGCTTAGTGATCATGACCATTCAAGGAGCTCCTTAAACTATAATGTAATAGTTTATTTTGTTAAAAAAAAGTCTCACGAGTGGGAGTTTGTGAGACATGTATAAACCGAGTTGCTTCTACATAAAAGTACTAGAACATACATACACTTCATTTTTTTGATTTCTAGTTCACGTCTAATTTGAGATTCATTCTAATTAAAGTTGCTCACTTGGAGCATATGGCCAAAAAACAAAAACAAATAAAACAAAAACTTTGCCCACATTTTGACCCACACACATTATCGCTCATAAAATTATAATGGGTTGTTCCTGAGACAAAACTTTAATTTGAATCAGATTTTTTGTGGATCAGTCATAGTAACAGACATCAGACCAGGCTCCCTTCACTGTTATCTCTTTATTTCATTCATCCAGATTACATTAATGCATAGTTTGTCCTGGATGTCCATGGGCACACAGTGGATTTTCTGCTTACTAAAACTGACATTCCTCATGGCTGTAGCACCATATGTGGAGCTGCTCACTTAGCTCATGCATGGCTGGCTTTCATCATTAGCAAAGAATTTAAAAAAAAATCAGAACAGGTTTTTCTTTTCCCCCTGAAGTAAAGATCCATCCATTTTCATGTGGGCGGGTTGTGAGCTACTGCATCAAAGTGTGAAAAATGAGGAGAATTCTGTAATATTTTGTCTTCTTCTTTCCTGTCCTCATCATTTCATGACCCATTAGAGTATAAACAGTTCATCCCAAGAAATGCTGACATTTTTTTCTTTCATGTAAATTTGAGGTGTTTTTTTAGTACATCTCTCCATGGATGCTAAGTCAGTTTAGTCTTATTGAATCCTTTTGCCATTTAAATGACTTGTTTTTAGCCTATTTTTCTTGACAAGTGACACTAAATGTACATAGTGTTGTGGTTTGGCCTCTTTTCATTGAGCCTGTACTGGATCTGTGCCCTCAGCTGGAGGAAGACATGTTCTGAAGGTGGTTGACTCATAATTTTGCCAAAGGACAAATAACCCTCTGCAGGCTACTAGCGCCCCTTGGTGGAGAGACTCGGTACAACTGTTACTCAAGTAAACATCTTCACCAACCTGCTCCTGGTGTACATCATCATGAGGATGTAGAGATAGTGACACAAATTTAATCTGGTGACACATTTACAGATAATAAAACATGAAATGACCAGGTACAGCCATTAAAATGAATAAATCAGTGTATTGCAATCCTTAACACAGCACTCATAATAATAAATTCAACCACACCTTACAAAATATTACAATTATTTGTGGGGAAAAAATGTATAAAGCAACCAAATTCAGTTTAAAAATGTTGTAGTTAAGTACTGATTTTGACCTTGACTCAAACCCAAGTAAAATTAGTCCATAACCAAATATTAGAAGCCAAATACTGTCAACCTTATTATAATTTATTCTGCATTGTGTGTTATTCAAAGCAGACACACTCTAAATGCTTTTAATCTGTATCATGTCTTTAGGGCTTTTTCTTTCTTTTTTCATAGCATTATGCAGCAGAAACACATTTGCATACTGACTTAAACAAAGAGGGGTTTGCAGACAAGACCTCCTGGAAGATGAGAAGAAAAGCACGGCTCATCACATGTGCAGTGGAGTGGAACTTAACATTAAAGCAGCTGTAGCTGTGATAAACTGTGATGTTTCAGTGGTAATAATGCAGAGTCTAACTGAATGTTCTTGTTAGGACATACTGTAAGCTAAGGTAACATTAGCTTAATGTCAACATCCAGTCTGGAAATTCTTTGGGTTGCTGTCAAGCCAGTAGATAGTTATTTTATATTTTTTAAAATCACATTTAAATGCATTCAAGTATAAATGAATTATTTTTTGGGGGATAACGTGACTCAATAAGGTATCAAATGAAGACATTACAGACGTCACAGTTTGCTGTCTAGCCTGGAAACTGTCATCTCTTTGTTCTCAACTTCACAGCTTCTATATTTGCTCATTGCTTTTCTCCAGTGAATGGTTCCTTTTGCAAGGGAATCCTAGGACGTTCCCAGACCAGGTGGGGTATGTAAACCCTCCAGCATGTTCTTAATTTGTCTTCTCCCAGTTGCTCAAAATAATCCTTACAAGCAAACATCCTAGAGGCATGTGTGAACCACCGGAACTGATTGTTATTAGCAGAGGAAAACAGTGGTTCTAGGGCATATTACTCCTGGATAATTTGTTTTATTTTACAGATCCGTGACCCCAAAGCTTTTAAAACCAAGCTGTAATGTTCCTCACTGTTTGGGTATTATTAGTTTTTCATTAATGGCATTGGCACAGGTGGACCCTTTGTTTATGTCTGTCTTTGTGAGACTGTTTCTTATTGATTAATTGGTGTAAAACTTTTTATTAGAGTATACAGGTTTCCAGGTTGTCTTTTCTACATTACTGAATAAAAATAGATTGAATGTGGTGTGATGGTAAATTAGTGTCCCAGTTCCATAGTCCATGTTAATTCCAGCCAGGTTTTAAGTCTATAGTGTACAATGACAAAGTGATGTACATATGTCAGTATACAAACTCAAACCTGCTTGATTTTTGAGTGTGCTGCAGAAGGTAACTGTGAAGGAGGAGCTTCTTTCAGCTGCACCAGCTCTCAGGTGACATTAGGGGCCTCTGGCATTTTTTATTTTCTTTTTTTGAGGTTTAATTGGCAGTAAAAGTCCACACTCAGAGTTTGATTACATCCGTGTACATGTTTCTTGGCAGCGCACAATGGTAAATATGACTGTATTGTTTTTACAGTTCAAGTACAATAGTTCATTATTTACTTTTACAATGTGAATGGATTTAGAAACTTAGGCTTTGACGCCTCGAAGTGGCAGCGGGATGTAACAGCAATATTATTTAGATTTTTATATACGTGTTTTCTGAAATTTGATGAACACACCAGGACCATTTGTCCGTGAAGGGCTGTTTCCAAGGCCACAAATTAAATTTAAGTAATTATTGTTTGGCAGTAATATTTGTGCATTTTCATTGTCTTATTTCTTATTGCAGTGGTCTCCACTACTATTCCTACTTGTGCTACTAGTATTTGTGTGTCCTTCTTCCATTGGTGGGGGAGCCCAGTTCATTTGACAAGATAAGAATTGGGATTTTATTTTTAGAAATATTCAGGTAACTGAGTCAGCGGTAAGACCTAATGCTATGGGTTGTATAGTTTGATAGCGTGTGAATAGTTAACAAGCAAGCAGAGAATCAACGTTTACCAAATGTGGATGATACTTGGTAATGGATAAACGATTGTGTAAATAAAAATTGTGATTCACTGTATTAAATAATAAATCCAGTCACTGCTGTAAAGGTACGTGTTTGTAATCTGATTACATAGCCCAATCAACAGTTGCCTCGGATGACTGTTGATTACTCACGTTATGCAGGTAATTCCAAGTGAAGAAATGCGCACCCCCACCCTCCCCACCCTCCTCTTCATCCTGTATTCTTTGTGTAGTAACTGGATTTGTAACGACGGTGCTGAAAGAACCACCGTGCAGGCCTCCTGTGTGTGTTTATTGGTGAGTGTGTGTGTGTGTGTGTGTGTAGTTGACTAGAGGACATGCCACCGAGGCTCTTGCGGACACAGACATTTTCTTTTCCTCCGGGTTTTCCATAATCTGTTAGATTAAGCCAGCCGACCGCCCTTTGGATGGGACAAGACCACCTTTGTGCTTTTGCATTTCAAGCCCCATTGGCTGATTGAGCACCGTCTTTCTTTCTTTTTCCCCCTTTTTATTTATTTGAATCCTCCAATCACGCCGATTTCCCCTGTTTATTCTCCGATGAAATGACAGCCGAGCTGCCTGAGCGCGGTCCGCGTAGCTGAAAGTCCGGCGACCTTCCACCTGCCGTGGAGAAAAGCGAAATTCTCTGCATCTCCAGTTGACATTTGACGCAAAATTGAACCCGTCGGATGCAAGCAGATCTGAGGACAAGTGGCGGAGAGGGTCGAACTACCTGTTAGCTTCCACGGGCTGCAGGATTATGCTCGCTTTTCAGCACGTTTGATATCCAAACGAAAAGACTGCTATTTTCTTTCCATTACGCATAGATTTGAATTCGCAGATGTGCAGCCCACCTTCTGACCTACTTTGTGCAACTTGGAAATTAAACCAAGGGTCCTGAAGGTTTGCCTGCATTACGCCGGGATGAAGAAAAAGAGTGATGTGCCAACAGTGACCCAGTGGAGAAGCCTCCAGTAAAACGCAGGAGAATAAAGAGAGGGAAAGGACGAGCAGAACGTGCTGAAGAACCCGAGGTGTGTGCGTGAGTGTGCGCGAAGCCACAGAAGGTTATGAGCGCGTCTCTTCACCTGGACCCCGGGCTGCTGCTGCTGCTGCTGGCCTGCTGGCAAACAACAGAGCTGGTGGGAGCAAGTGAGTCTCTGTTTAATGTCTCTTAATTGTCATTTAGTGTGTTTGTGTTTCTCAGATTGATGAACTATATCTTAAATTAAAGTTCAGTTCAATGTTTCCAGGGTGACTATACTGGTGCAACCAGCAAATATTATCCAGGCAATGATGTGGTTTTGTACCGAGGTATGACGTACCCTATGTGAGCCTCTCTGTGTTTCAGTCCCTTTAAGCTGTAGGTGCTTTATTAGCATGAAATACAAATATGTGTCTTTCTAAATTCAACAAATGATAACAATCAAACATGAGCACACATGCAAAAACACATTAGAAAAATGCAATATCATATAAGTAAACCAGACACTTATCAGCCAATAAACCTGCTGAAATGCATGCAGCTGTTTTAGATCTCCTTTGTCTGTCCAACCACCTCTTTCAAAATAAAGGAAGAAATATAAGCAGACTGGCAAAAAGTAATTGATAATTTGAATGCAGTATTAACAAATTTAACAGTATTAGCAATAATCAGTAATAGCATTAAACAGTGAAAGGACCAGATTCACACCTGGATCACTCTGGTGTTTGTGTCAGTTATTTATTTTTTCTTGTTTTAATAAGTGTTAGGTGTTTTTTTCCAATAAACATAATGGGGGGTTGCTGTATTTTACTGTATATACTTCAACTAGATAAACAGCTGTTGTAAAACGGTCAAAGCCTTAATTGAATGTCTATCAGGGGATTAGAATTTCAGAGCCTCCCTCTCACTCTCTGGCCTGTTTAATTAGCTGTGTAGTAGGATTGCACTGGCACTTAAATCACCCAAACTGCTCTTCATATTCCTGCCCTCTGAGGTTTTGTGCAAAGTGGCTTTTGGCAAATCACACAGAATCAGCATGTTTCTCTTTGGCAGATTACCAAGAGGCAGCTAATTTGTGTTCACCAGTCTCTGTGTTGATCTAACCAATGAATGGGCCTGTTTATTTCCCCACATGGCTTTCACCTTCTCCATCATGTAATAAACATCTTATCTTTACAGTAGCTCATCATCCACACTACATCCTGTTGCTCATTGTCACTGCCTCTGGTTTAATTGGTTTAATTAACTGATTTTAAAAACCTTTTGATGCAACAGGTAGCATTATGGACTGAGAGCATCCTGGATGATTACAGCTTGTGTTCTGATTTTAGCTCCTTAAAGTTCTACACATTCTAGAAGAATTAATTAACTTGGAAACTGTTTTTGTCTAATAAGAGCTCAGGGTCATATCTGGCTTTACCAAGCAGAACAAGCCCTGTTTGTCACAGAAATGACCGTCAGTCTCCGAGACCCCGATGATACCATGTGCGCTGTGCTGGGATTGCAAACTCATTTTTTGTAGCTTTTAGGATGAGTAAAGGAACGAACAGAGAAAATATTTTTGATATTAAAATTTATTTTTGACTCTGAAAATAGCTCCTGACCAAACAATCTCCCTCACTGATCTGGAGGTTGTCACTTGTCATTGAAGTGTTCAGGGTCAAGAAAGAACTTAAAAGTTCAACTTTTAATTAAGCCAATATGATTCAGAAGTCCCTAAAATGCTCATAAAATGTTGTGAACATGTATTTGAGTGATGTTTTGTGTTATATTTGTGGCATTTTAAATGGGAATAGTAGAAATGCTCCTGCTCCTATGTAGCACAGACACACACACACACACACACACACACACGCAGACATCCATACATCACACAGAGCGGTAGGCAGCCATTAGCCAGATTAGGCTGTCTGAGTCAATCAGCAAACTGTTACTTTGATCTGAGTTACAATCGGCTGTCAGGATCAAGTCGTACATCACAGACTATTCCAGGAGAAATGGTGTAAACAGCGGCTGTCACAGGGCTTATTGTGGAGGCACCGTCATTGTAGTGTTGCTAGGGGCTGCAGAGAAACACAAGGTTGTCTGTTTGTCTGTTGTTTAAATGAAGAGCACATCGTGTAGAAAGGTCAAACCACTGCATGTGTGCACATCTGTGCTCTTCTGATCTTCCAAGAGCCAGATAAGGACAAAAATACATATGAGGGAGAACACAACCTGACTTTTCCACTCCTCCTCTTGGAATTATTAATTCAGTTTTGTGCTAAGACAAGGATTAGGCAGTAGCATAGCTGTAGTCTGTCTTCTATGGATCCAATAACTACTGTATATTTTTACATAGTTGTCATTACAGTAAGATCCGCAGACATTTAATATTTGGAAAACAAATTTGCCAACACACTCTCGAAGATAAACTTTATACTTTTTACTATTTTGGCATTTCTGTACTGCAAATGTTCTTACTCATCAGAAAGATATTTATGTATCTTATATATCAGTAAACAAATATTGGCCTGGATAGTTAACCAATTTTACTGTACATACAAATGCTAATTTATGAAAAAAATGCAGATGTAGCACAACCTTTTTATGGTTTAATTCCCTTTTTCTGGAGGGTTTACATATATTTTTAAGGGGTTGTAGGTGGAGGAATGGATGAAGTCTGACGTGTGTGTTAAAGGGTGCTAGAAATTTACAATATGATAAAAAAAAGAAACTTTATCATCTCAAATGTGGCTCATATAAACCTCAAATGTAGCTAAAAGCATCCTAACATGGTTAAAAAATGTGCATAAATAAATCATGTGCACAAACTGGCATAAAACATGAAGGACTAACAAGGACAAACAAGAACTGTGTGTGCACTCTAACATCCAGCCTAACCACTGTGTTTCATCATTTAATCAATATCCACATTCTACTCCTCTTGGTCCATCTTCCCTCCACTTCTCACATTTTTTTTACCACTCACTCCATCATTGATCTTTGTCCCTCATTCTCAAACAGCCTTCTCACTTTGCTCTTTGTCCATATATCCTCTCAAAAGCAAAAGATTGAAAATTCGCCCTCCCTCTCTTGATATCACCTCGAGAGAATTGCTCTCTCTTCTCGTTCACTTCATTTCCCCCCTCTGACTCATTCATCCCTCGCACCGTCACACTTCCTTCATCTTCCACTGTTTTCTCTCTCATCTTCTTTCCTGTCTTCCCGACTGTCCCCTCCCATCTTCCCTCCTGGTGAGCATAATGTAATTGCAGAAGCCTGTTCATTGTGTGTGCAGTCCATTGCATCCCTGGCAGATGAAAGTGTTTCGGTTTTAGTAGCCATAACATGACAGGAGTTTGGAGAAAGCTGAGCTGTCTTTGGCAGAGACAAGGGAACATAGGTTTAAATATGTTTTTTCTCCTGACTTTGTGTGTGTGTAGGTCTAGGATGGAGTTTTGTTATTGTTGTACTTTTTATGTGTACATACAGTATGTTCCTGAGAAGCCCTCATGTCCAGAGACACTATATGCACAAAGGATGGTTTGCACATCCAAATCCGTGACACGTTAATTTGTGTATACACAGAGTTTAGAAGAGTGAGTTTATTCCACTATGCAGATCCCCTGTGTTGATGGTACTTGTGTTCCACAGTCTACACACCAACTTTCTTAAGATTGAGATTAAAGGTAGGTTTAGATCTGTGTAGATGAGATGATAGCAGCTTGAATACAGACTGAATCATTGACTCCACGCTTTCTTCCAATTTCTTAGACATCTGATTGAATCAATATGCTGCCTAGAGCGAATTGACCTCTTTTTGCACTCACCTGCATCTTTCCATTTACTTTGTACACAGTCGTGCCTCCAAACTTTGCTTATAGGACTGAATAGGAGTGAATCTCTAAAGCCAAGTTCCAAAACTTTGTGGAAACGTTTGCTTAAAAATAGAGGTTGATTAGCAACAGACTCGTCTGAAATTGTTTAGACTAAACATGGGTGCAATGTTTGAGTCTCCACAAACCTTTGGCCGTATAGTCCAGAATATAATCTCAGAAAATTGTTCAGAAATGGAAGGTTTCAGCTATGGGTTTCATTTCAGGTCCTCAGAATCCAAGAACAAGAGCATCTTTTTACAGCTACCATTTAGCACAGCCTTTCAGTAATTATCCAAGGAGGAATTTTTCAGTCAACACTTGCAGTGGCCAATTTTTACACCCACGGTATCAAGAAGTGGACTGGAATGCATTACAGCTACAAGACAGGTTGTGTTGACACAAAAGTGCTGTTTTTTTCTTAACTCCCACCTTCTTGGTGTCGCTGTGCCCTCATTCACTCCACCTGGATGCAACATATTCCTGGTGAGCTGTCAGAGGGCATTGTGGGAAATGTAGGGTTGAAGCTAACAAAGCAGATTGATGGAGCACAATGCACTGTATCCAAGGTTGATGAACCTCTTGTATAACAGTTAAGGAAAGTGTACTTTTCCTGTAATGACTCTGAAGCAGTTTTGGCAGACAGGCCAGCATTTCCTGCAGGGAGCGTGGGAAGTCCTCCATAATGAGTTGTGGTTAGTTTCAGGTCGAGCTTGACATTCACAGTCATGCTCCAGAGCCTGACTGCCTGCTTTTGTTTTAGAATTGGTCTGCATTTGTTTTATTCTGTCATCCAATATTTGGAGAGCTGTTTTATTCTGTCATCCAATATTTGGAGAGCTGATATCGATGCTGGTGCCTCCACCAACCTGGAAATGAGCTATTTATTTTTACAGAAAAGGTTTAGTGTTATTTTATTGGTTTCGGTTGTCACTGCTCCAAAAATGCCGACAGTGGACTCAGGACATTCAAAAGAACAGAGGAAAATCAGCACCGTGGCAGTTTATAATAAAATCAAAAATCCATCATTACATCATATGTCAGAGTGGGGAGGTTCACTCTTCCATTTCACAGCAAAACTATGTTAGGAATGCTCGAACACAAAATGAGCGAGCGAAAAAGTAACGGACCCAGGTAGCTGACTTCAGTGCAAGCAGTGAGGTTTATTTACAGTGCATTAACAGTGAGATAGATACATATATACACACACACACACACACACACACACACACACACACACACAGTTTCTTTCGTAGTCCATGGTTTACATCGACTTACATGCATTTCCTGTAGACTAACCCTAACCTTAACCAGAACCACTACTTGCCTAACCCTAACCCTGACCCTAACCTTAACCTAACCCTAAACCATGTTGCCACCCTAAAATTCAATTTCTTGTCCATGGGGACCTCAATTTAGGTCCCCATGAGTTGGTATGGAGTCAGGAAGAAGTCCCCACGTAGCAGGAAAAACATGTCCACACACACACACACACACACACACACACACACAGGAGGAATGTGGTATGAGATGACCGAGTGTCGATCACCGGCAGCAGAAACACATGCAGTCAACGAGGAGATGGGTAATGATGGACCGGGCTGCGAACGGAGGGATCACTCCTGGGCTGGTCGAGGTGAGGCGATGATGGCTGAGAACACAGAAGTATGGAAACAACAGGTTAAATGGGGACTGTGCATCGACCTGTGAGGCGGTGGCTGGTAGAGCTGAATGAATCCAGGGTCCAGAGGAGAGGTCGATGGAAGCGGTGGAACGACAGAGACGGCGGGGCAGGATGAGACTCGAGAAAACATTGAACACAGATACTGGTGTACTTGACACAACAAAAACAGAATGATAACACGTACGGGGCCTAGAGACAAAGAACGAACTGGCAGGTGAGTGACCGGTGAGCAGTGTATAAGTAAGGAGGAAAATTAACGAGGCGCAGCTGGTGAGTAATCAGGGAAGCGGGACAGGTGTGTCGAATAGTGCAATCAGTGCAAGGGAGCAGACTAGTATGAGGAAAGGAAGAGAGGAGGGTGCCGCTGGGCAAACGTGACACTATCCCTAGTGCAATTAATATTTGTATTTGGACCTTCCCTTGACATGAACAAATAGTACTAAAAACTTCATATATTAGTAGATAATGCACACCTCAGAAGTGGAATTAAAAGTTTCCGAATTTATGGTATACATAGTCGAATTATTAGTTTAGAATAAATATGTACTGAAAAGGGCTACACAATAATAATAACATAGGTCTTTCAATTTTTACATTTTTTTGTTATGATGGAGCCTAAAGTAGATCATTTGATCATATTTTGAAAATAATTTTTAGATTTGGAGTGTAGACTGTGTTTTGCAGTTTGTCCCAACCAGGCACCCATAGGATGAAAAGAAATTAGGCAGAGTAGCTTTAAAGTAACAGAACAAGAAAAACAGGTGGTATTGGATAGATGGCTGAATTAGTTGGCTCAGTGTATTAAGCAGTTAAATAGTGAAATAAAAGTAATGGAAATAGTAGTAACTGAATGCAGGTATCTTCAAATGCTAATCAACAATATAAGGGTTTGTTGGATGTTTGTAAGCTGTACTGCGCTATAGCATGCCCCAGTAGCAGACTGGGGAGTTAACAATGCCTCCTCTGAAATGTCAGTCATCTGCTGCTATGTGAACTACCCCCCAGAGGCTTGGAGCTTAGATGATGTCTCACTAATATGACAATGGAAAAATGGGCACAGTAACTGCAGGGCCATTACAGTTTCTATTTTCCTAAAGACTTTAAATTTTTTTTTGACTTTAATATGCCATAATGCAAAACCTCGGCATTTTATTGCCCCTTTTAGCCTTGATGCCCTAATTGGCTTCTGTACTGGCTCATTTTCCCTTCTGATGTTTTTTTTTAATCACACACACACACGCACACACACTCTTTGGGCACATAGTCATGGCTTTCTGCATTGATGAGAAATGTGAAGCACCATTCTTGTCCTGCTGTACAAGGTGGGATGAGCTGAACTCATCAATAGTTCCTGACTCACAGTAAAAATCCAGTTATTGATTCTATTAGATGTTCTGTCATCACCAAGAGGAAGGTCATAGAAAGACGTCTGCTTTCTTTCATTTTAGATTTTTTTTTGCCTTCTTTTGTTTCTTTGTCTTTTTGTTTTACTTTTTCTCATTTTGTCTTTCTTTATTATGTCTGATTATGTTTTCATCATTCTTTCTTTCAGTCTTTAATACTCCCCTCTTTATATGGCTCAGTCTTGTCTCTTTTGTCCCTACTTACAATTTTCTTTCTTTTCTCCCTTCCTTATTCCCACGGTTCTCTTGACAAATGCAAACAAGGAAAGTCTCAGTGGAAGTCACAGCATTTACTGATGCTTCAGTGATATAAAAAAATCTCACTCTTACTTAGCGAGCGCTTTGGATTTCTCATCATTTCTACCATGTCCCCAGAGAGTCATTAGCCTGCAAGTACACTATGTGTGTGTTTCTCATCTTTTGCTCATGATCGTATATTTGCATTTTAGCCATTTAGCTGACATGTTACAGTCACTTAGTAGAAGAGATGGGAGATTCATCCCCACCATTCATTGTCTTGCTCAAGGACACTTGGACAGGGAGCTGGGCCTTACCACTACAGATCAGAGGTATTTATTGTCATTGTAACACGTATAACGAAACTATGTTTGGAGCCAAGGGCTGCATGCATACGTGCCGCCATCACAGGCAACAGGGGGGTTCAGTGTCTTGCCCAAGGACACTTTGACATGCGTACTACAGGCACTGAGATTTGAACCATCAACCTTCCGGTTGGGAGATGACTGTTCTACCCACCACACCACTGTCGCCTGGACATCACTATTTTAGCATGAAGGGCTAAAAATCTCTTCAGCCTTCTTCAAGTCTGAACCCATAGAGTGGGGGCTGTTATAGAAGCAGATTAACACCCATGGTTTGGGAATACAAAAAAATCCCATATGGGTATCATGTTGGAATGTCCACATATTTGTGGCCAGCTTTCATTTATTTATTTTTTGCGACAGTAGGAAATGAATGCTCTGCAAATATGCTGAAGTGTTGGCCACTGACTGTCCCTAAGAGGTAACGCAAGTGTGTGTGTGTGTTAACAGCTGTGCCAGCAGCCCCAGTGAATGTATCGGTGACCCAGCTGAGGGCACACTCAGCCATGGTGACGTGGAACGTCCCTCAGGGAGATGCTGTCATTGGATACGCTATCTCACAGCAGGTGCAGTAGAGCAGTCATGTATCATCACTGTAAGTGTGTATCTGTGTGTGTACGAGTACTCACTGGGGTGGCAGTTTGAACTCAAAGATTGGTTTTTCTTAATTGGTTTAATTTTTTTAAAAGCTTGAAAATGAAAGTAATTTCTCAGTCTCCCCGTCACACTCTTGTCAGATTTGCGCTGATCTAACCCTTTCTTGCTATCTGCTCTCATTTGCTTGAAGTCCAATTAATTCTGCAGGGAAACAAACTGAAGGGATATAAATTCTTAAAACAACAGACAACTTGGATTGCTGAAGTGCTCGGGGCTAAAAAACAGCCTTTTCAGAATTGTATTACGTAATTGTATTTGTGATTGTTTACACTTCTAGAGCAACAGATTCTTTGCTTTTTTCCTCCTGCTGATGCCTGGGGTTTCTAAGTGCTGTGCCATTCGTGAGGCCAGTAGTCAGCATTTTGCTCAAAGACTCTTTATCACGAGCTGTTGTCTACTTAATGTTTGGCAGTGCTAAAGAAATGTGCTCATAAACATTTAACTTGTTGAAAGGCTAGTGAATGGCAAGGCTGGCTGCGGGTTGACCAAAGTACTTAAAGTAATATTAAAAAAAGACATCTCCTGATTACAAAAGTTTTCAGGCAAAAGAAGTCCCAGAATTTTCCATTTAGCAAGAAAAAGCAGACAACGTCTAGACCAGTGGTTCTGAAACAATGTTTTCATGTCGTGTCATATTAAGTAATTTATTCAAGCTATATCTATGCATGACTTTGATCTATTTACTGTATATATCCCCACCATTTATCTATTACTACTGCTATTTAAACTGTTTGTACTTTTAGCTATTTTGAACATTTGTCACTTGCTCTATTAACTATTGAACTATTTCAGATTAATCCATTACCTTTAGCTATCTGTTGATTCATTTTTAGCTATGTAGTAGCTATCACTTACTGCAGTATACTACAGTATAAGTACCCCTGCCTGGGAATCAGTAGTCATTTTACATTAATTCTGCTCATATAGAATCACATTTTGTTGGTCTCACATCTCCTGAACTCCAGGCTGTAATCTTTGCTCAGCTCATTTTAATCAGTTTTTGAGGCCCGCTGTTTGACAAAAGGCGACTCATACATTTTGTGGGGGCTGGTCTCACTGTAGAGGCAGACATGGCAAAGGTGTATATAGAAAGCACTTACTCAAATATTAAAAGGATAAGTGATGGGAGCAGATCGATGCAGCGGGCATCTGTGCAGGAGGTTTTTATCGACTGAGCTTCTTTTTTCCTGCTGTTATCAGCAGTCAATCTGGATAAGGGTGGAAGTGTACAAAAGGGCAAAAACCTCAAGAAATGCAGTTCTACAAAAGGCTGCTACTCTCCTATCAATCAAGCAAATCTTATTTTGCTTTGAAAAGCAAGCAGTTGTGGTCCTAAGTCACGCTTTAGCTCTGATTTGGACCCACGTACTGGCTGCTTTAGGACATCGCTTCATATAGTGTACGTTTCAATAACAAGCTGAGCCTTCTGTTTGTGAAGGAGAAGCAGGATGAGTGAATCAGCCCAGACAAAGAGATGCTTCACTCATATGAAGTTGTTCCAAATCTCAGAGCACTGGTTTCTGAGATTTACACAAGAAGCAACAATGCTCACAAACACATTGGAAGCGACCCAATTTAAGACAGTGTATCTAAAACTCCTAACGATACTTATGCTGATTCATCAACCCAACATTATCACAAACAAAATAATAGTTATTGATTAGTGTGAGTATGCAGGTGGATGTTGATCAAATAAATCAATGCTAGGGCAGCTGATAATGTTTGCTTTAAGCTGTAGCCTGTCAACTATAATAAAATTGTCAAGAACAGAGCTGCACTCTGCTGCGCTTCTCTGCTGACATGCACGAAGCTGCTATCTATTTTCTTGACCTAAAAATAGTAGACTCCAGAGTCCATCCTCATTCAAGAAGCATTTTACTGAGGTTACCTAGAGGGAGACTTCATACCTCTTTTGAACCTTCAGATATTTTTTAAAAGGTGTCTGAGGCATTGGTCTGTCTCAACTGAACCACAACACACAAGGCTATAATAAATCTATCCAGCTGAGAAGAAAAGTCAGGGTGAACCTTTCATGTCATGCTATACTGATCTTTTCTTTGTATAAAGGTGTCATGGCATCTTGTACAGCCAGGAGTACAAATCATCCTTGAAACCCTTTGGTTTAGTAAGGTTGTTTCATATTTGGTCTTATATTCTTCTTTTTTATATATAGAACTCTGTGGCATTGCTACTACTGGAAAATAATTGCCCCAGTACAGTTCACCTTCCTTGAGCACTGTTTATCATTGACATTGCATCAAATGCCAAGGGCACAATGTCCACTGGGGATGAAAAGGACACATCCTCCTCACTTTTCAAAATCTAGTTTCCCATTTTACAGATAACATATAATCACTTCAGGAACAGCTTACTACTGTCTGTAGTGTCATCCCCTACTCCCATGTGAAGGGCAGATTATACTGTTTGGCAGTGGAAAATTTTAGAAACATGAAACAAAGGCAAAAATAAAATGTTGCCTTCAACTCCTACAGGCACTTCGGAGGGTTTTACACTTTGTTTGCCCTGGATTTTGCCTCTCAGGAAATATACAGCCTGGTTTTGTTTGTATTTAGCTTGAGGGACAGACTGCAGGCACTTACCAGGGTGGATAACAGTACTTTAGCTCCTCTGTAAATAAAACCATTTAATATGTAATAACTGATGGAAGGCCAGTTGCTTTAACAGCATTTTTAAATTAAGGGGATTTAAAATGTCTGTTCCAAAATCAGAGAATCTTGCAGACTCACAGCTGAGTCACTGGTATTGATCAACAACCCTTTTAAGCCCCATAAAGATATTTTATATTATGCTCTTACAGCGCTATGGTGCAACAAAACCTTCCTTCGGTCGCTTGCTGCCTGCCAAAGGAGCCGGGGACGCCACTGATTCAGATCTCTGGAGGGCCTCGAATGTCCTGCAGCCTTCTGTTTATCGACGTCCCCTCAGCTGTTGGTGCTTCACCACCACATTTTCTTTGGAAAACCTACAGTCTTATGCAAAAGTTTAGGCACCCCTTGATAAATAACAGATTTTGGTGATTTTTTATTTGAACAGATGTTAACACAGTTTCTCTTGGAAATGGAAAAAATGCACAATATTTTCCTCATCTTGACCTCCACAGTTCCCCTGATCTGCCATCTCTTAATTACATTTCTTACTGTGGAAACTGCAAGCTGACAACGCTTTGCTATCTTCTTGTAGCCTTCTCCTGCATTGTGGGCATCAATAACTTTCATTTTCAGGGTCTTACACAGCTGCTTAGAGGAACCCATGGTTGCTGGGTGTCCACAAGTGTGTGCACAAGGTTTGAAGAGTCAAAGTATTTGTACAGCTTTGAAATTGGCATTTACCAATGACAGCTGTTGCTGTGCATCAGATCTAACGAGCTGATTAAGGTCTGATACCTTGTGAGAGACTTTGAGACTCTGGAACTCTTAGGGTGCCCAAACTTTTGCACCATGCCATAATCATGTTTTTATTTTTTATTTTTGTTCAATTTATGGCATAAGAAGTAACTATGCATCACTGTTTGCAGAAAATATTGTGCATTTTTTCCATTTCCAAGAGAAACTGTGTTAACATCTGTTCAAATAAAAAATCACCAAAATCTGTTATTTATCAAGGGGTGCCTAAACTTTTGCATAAGACTGTATGTCTGATTCTAAACTAGACTTTAATGCCCACCATTGGTTGGATGGTACAATTTAATCCAGTGGAAAGCAAAGTTGGTAAGGAAGAATGGGATGCTTACTAAGCAGCTGTTAACCCTTTAACATTTAAATGCAAGAGACGTGATGGTGTATTTTAGAATGTTTTATAGAATTTCTTGAAACACTGAGCTGGTTTCAGCTAATCATGAATGTATTATGAATTGAAGGCTAATGCAGTTTCTGGAGAATATAATTTCTTAAGGATCTTGTGTATGTTTAAGAGGAAGATACTGGGACAAGTCAGGCCCAGCTTTGTCACCTGTAAATAAGCCTGAAGAAAACCAGAGTCTTTCTGGATTTCTCTGATGATCCTCTGCAAATGGACTTTGGTCTGTTCTCATCAGGGTGCCTGCAGTTAAAACTAAAAGATGTAAAGATTCTTTCTGTCCCTGTTGTTGTTTAATAATTGCTATTTTTATGATTTTGTGTAGAAAAAAGTTTTAAATTGGCCAAAATCTGTGGGCCTTACATAAGAACTAGGTACAAACACATATACTCTGTTCTTATTCTGAATATAAAATGATGTCAGGGTTAAATCTAAGAATAAAAGTAAGAGAATTTTAAAAAATCAGCAAGTTTAAATGTGTTCACATATTAACCCACAAGACAGTATTTGTCTTAAAGGCAGTTTTTTGCACTAGCACGGTATACCTGCCTGCACTGTTGTACTATTGATGATGTTACCTTGCCTGCAGACCTGATATTCTGCAGCGTTTCAGTGTTGGAGGTGAATTTGTATGAGGTGAAGCTGCTTGTTATAGCAGAACTTGTATTTGCGCTTGTAACATCTCACTCAAAATAGTAACATAATGATGAATCTGTTCAGCAAATGTATCCTGCTGTTAAATTAAGCATGATCCCTAAGTGGTTTTTTGCATATACACCTCGATTTTACCTCTAAGACAAGACACTACAGCCCTGCATCTGTCAGGGGATCATAATACTCAAATTGCCATCTGAATGTAACGATCAATTCCAAAGGCTTTCTTTCAGTTCCTTTCAGTTACATGCAATTTGTGTGCATGTTTGTGTGGGAGCATTCATCATACATTTGAACATGTGTCTTGTCTTCTTACGGGTTTTGTCTCCAGAGGCAGGATGGCCTGATGCAGCGCTCCATCCGAGAGGTGAACACGTCCAGCCGCTGGTGTGTGCTGTGGGACCTGGATGAGGACACACACTACAGCATCCAGGTCAGACTCCAACACACTTTTATCTTGTTTTAAAAAGCTGCATCTAGTTTGGGGTTGTCAGTGATCATGTTATGGCTGTATAACATTTGCAGCTCAACAAGACAACAGCTACAGTGCTAACCTTACTGCAAGAGGATGTGGGAATTGTAAAAGCAAACCCCACATCAAAATAAGTTTGTTGATTCAATGGCAGGGATACAGATGTCTGCAGCTGTAAATGATGAATTTTACTGATGATAAATTGCATTTTAAACATGTTATGTTATTCTGCTTATACTTCAGCTAAACCGGTAACACTTTCTTTATGCCACATGCATGTTACTTATTACAGCTGAGAGTCGCTTGAATCAAAACCACCACAAACTACAGCGGTGCCTAATGTGGCTAATGTGGCTCCATTACCATCACTCTTTGAAAGTTTTATAATCCATTGTAACTTAATAGGCAGATACAAATTGGCCTTCAGACGGAGGACTTGGTTAAATACACTCATCAGCAAGTGGATGTGTTGCAAAAGTGTCATTGAGCAAAGCTGTGAAGCCTCACCAGCACAAAGACCACAGAAAATGGACCTCTGAGTTCATTATAAAAATGAGAATTTCCCCGTTGACTGAATTGTTGACAGATTAGGGCTTGGTGTTTTGCTCAAAGACACTTTACAGAGACTACATCTTCTATAGTGTTACACATGACCGTCATTTGCAATGAAACTGTACCCACTGGCGCCCTGGTTAGTCATTTTCCTAGAATGACTTGCAGTCAAACTCCACAGTTTGACTTCAGTGTTTCAGTAGAGACAACGCTCTCTGCAGCACTGTGAGACCCCTTGTGCATGTAATTGTGCCTCTGTGATTGGTTGTTTCTCCCTTTATGCCTGTTGAAGTTCATATTTTTGGTTATCAAATGCCACTATAGCCACAAGAAACATCTCATTACTCTGTCTGAATGAGAAATACACCATCAAAGTTGTTAATTGTTTTGTAAGTAGCTTCATTTATTGATGGGTTTTTACTGAAAATGCCCTAAACACAGCTCAAGTCTGTATTCCCTCTGTTGTCTACATTTACAGCTCCATTCATCCTCCAGTGATCATTCAGGATCCCAGACAAAAGTCAACGCACCATTAGCTCACTTAAATACACCCTTGTGAGCCAGCTTCTATTCAGTGTTATATAGACTTTCATTTAAAGAGCTGTCTTTCTGCTGTTTCTTTTTTGGATTTAGGTGCAGTCTGTCGGGCTCCATGGTGACAGCCCACCCAGTCGCGCTGTCCACTTCAGGACTCTGGAGAGGACTGACCACTATCCAGCTGGAGTCCTAGACCACCGTAAACAAGCACAACTCAAATTTATATTAAACCACTATCTAATTAATGTCATCACTGCACATGTAAATGTTGATCATGGATAACATTTGAGATCAGTCAATCTTTGTCCTCAGATGAACCAGCGATGGAAGGTCTGGGTATGACTCCTCGCCTACAGACAGGAGAGCTACTTATTATCACCACTGTGCTGCTGCTGTGGGCAGGTCAGCCTGGATGTCTGTGTGTCTCTGCATGTGTGGGTGTGTTGATGTATCTGCTTGACTATGTGGAGATACAGATGTATTTGGAATATATTGAAACATCAGGCCCAAGTGCACAGACATGTAGTAGCTCCTACATCTGACCAAGAGCCACAGATTCCCAGAGTCGTCTTTTTGTATCTACATTGGACCATTTTGCATCTTTTTGGGGACTTTTGTGTCTATTTTTGGTGGTTTTACATGTATTTATAGTTGTTTTGCATCTCCTAGTCAGTTTGCATACCTTTGTGCGTGTTGTTAGATTTAGCAGTCACATCAGACAGAGGTTTTTAGCCCCATGCTCAGTAGGCCCGATCAGTAATCTGTCTATAACATTCAGATGAATACAACTGAAAATGCTTTGCTTTTACTTTCTCGACTCTCTTTCTCCATCCCAGCTGTCATCGCCCTCTTCTGCCGACAATATGACATCATCAAAGACAGCGACTCCAATGGCACCAAGGAGAAAGCCAAGCGGCCGCTGGTCCGTGCGACCTCCTCCTATTACAACACTTCAACTGGCAGCTCGCCCATCTACCACAACAGAGCCGTACGCAGCAGCAGGGTGACTCATCTCTCCTCCAACTGCTGAACTTCATTTAGCAAACTTCTTAATTTTGTTGCAGCACTTCTCTACAATGCATCAGATTTTGCTTCCTCTGAAGAGCCTTTGTGTAGAGATCACCTAGCAACCAGAGCTGCTGCCATCATGGCTAAATATAAAACAGTGCTCTGTGCATCTATTCAGTCAAGTGCTCAGTAAAAGTGAGCAGACTGACAAGGTAGATTTGTTTCCAAATAGGAGTGAAGCTGTGTTGATAAATTGGAGTTTTAGGTGACACTGTCTTGGCTATCACTGGCAGCTAGCTACAGCACCAAGCAAGAGCAGTCAGATGCATCAATAGTAAAAACTTCCAGTGGTAAAAGTACATTTGCAATCATGTTAACAGTGATCATTTGGCTTTGCAGCATGAACAGACTGCATTTTATAATATTTCCAAAACTTGGAACCAAAGCTAGGATCATATGTGCGTGAATAAGTTAACAACAAGAACAACTGTAGTATGTGAATGAAACTAAATGAACCATGGCTCATCATTTGTGTAGCGGATCTGCAAGAATACACATTGGTGCATGCAGTCACATATATAGAGTACACACAAGTGCAAGGAAGAAATAAACAACAAAAATGAACATTTGGAAGTTTACATCCTGTCTTCATGTGTAGCCAGGTTTTTGTTCTGCTAGCACTGCATCTTGATTTCACAAGTTCATTTTATGTGTGGTTGCCTTGATAAGGACAGCCTCGTCATCCTGCTCACAGTCAGCATTATTTCTAATTTCTGACATTTTAGTGCCAAAACAACCCAAATCTGAACACAATTAAGTGAGAGCTTCAGCTGACCTATGCCCACTGGGAGCCATTAGATTTGCATATTAAATGTCAAACTCAAACACAAATTTGTGGGTGGGAACAGGTCATGGATTAGTAGGTAAATCTGTGAGAGGCACGTGGCAGTTCATGTGTGTCTCTGACTCATGTTTATGCACACAGCGCCATCTCTGTTTTCTGCTTTTGCAGCTTCACAGAGCCTCCTCCTCCATCAGCATCATTAGAGTGTGAGTTTGGATGTTGGTTCAGAGACTGACTGTCCAGCAGCACAGGATGGGTGGAGCCGATGATATGCAACAGCAGCTGACATTTGCCTGAGAAACTACAGAGGGATTATTGTGACAAATGGAGAATTTATAGACCTGCTAGCTGAGAGTCATATTCCTTGTAAAATATGGGCAAAGTGAGAAGCACCTCATAGAAGTCAGATTCAAATCACGCTGTGGATGAAATGGAGGACTACTGCTCTCTAGTGGCAGAAGACTTTGGTGTTAAAATGTCATGGGCTTTTAGGGCTTTCCCAGCTGTTTGGATCAGTGCACATGAACATGGAGAAACCAGTGCAAGAAGATGTATGCTGAACTGATCTCCTTTTGAAAAATATGCCAGCATGTCGGCCAAATTTTGTTTGCCTCAAATTCATAGGCCAGGGAGTCTAAATGTAATATTAACAAATATTTGAATGTATGTGATGATGATGTTGGAGAATGAGAATGTACAAAAGTTTAAAATGCTTAAAATGTGACCTAAAATGAAGAGTTAAATGTCATTATTTTAAGTTGTTTACTAGCATACGTATTCAGAATGTGTCATTTCTGATTCAAAAGTAAGTAGCTTGTTAGTTTATAATACCACATGTACAGGTGACCTCAGATTTCCAGTCACTATGGTCAGTGTTTTACTGTTGGGTTTTTATGTCATTCATACAGGTTGTACACAGTAGAGCATTACTTCATTACCCCATGTGTACTGTACTCCACTACATTTATTATAAAGATCACATTTTTTAGAGCAATAGAAAAAACATAGTCACCTTTATCCAATGAAAATATCTGCTCAGTACACTGGTCAACCCAATTATCAGTCAAACCTGTCTAATAATGTCAATAAATAAAGTAATAGAAATGATAATATATGTAATGATGCCATAATGTTGTTGGATTTGATACATGCTATCAGCATTTTTTATTTGTTTATCTTATTATCAGCTTTCCTCCATACCACATATATTTTAATTGTTTTGAAAGGACCTTGAGAGTAAATGAGCAGAAGTTTACAGTTACTACTATATGATTCCTAGGAGTACTTCCTAGAAATACTCATCTTTCAAATCTTTTCATTCAAATGTGTGCAGTGTTACATCTCTTCTCCCATAACATCATTAGTGTCACTGATCTAAGGAGCATAACACAAAATAATTATGAGAGTTAAAATATTACAGTGCTAAACACAGTGAAAGACAAATGGTCCCTAATATTGTAGTATTGAAGTGGATATCTGTCCAGCTCCACGAATCCTCAGCAATCTATTAGTATCATGTTTTCCTGTTTTATTATGTTGTAATGTTATTTTTTTCGAAGTGTGTGTGTGTGTGTGTGTGTCTTATCTAATAGCATCTGACCTCCTCACATATGAGGCAACAGAACATGACTTGTTGATGTCGCTCATTGCTTATGATATAATTTTTAAAAACGCGTTTACTCGATTTCACTTTCCTCATCATATTTCTTTGCATGAAATGATGGGCTTTTTGTCTTTTCATGCTCCAGCAGGCAAAACCTTTCACACACCTGGCTATAAGCCTAAGACAGAGCTTTTCAATGTGATGAATCTTGAAATCCAGCAGCCAAAGGAAAAATTAATAAATGAGGCCTACAGTTGCTTCAGAAAGTAAATTTACTGTGTTGTAAATTTAATTTGAAATGAAAAAAATTGCGATTTTTAATGTAGTAGAAAGTGAAGAGGTTTGAATACTTTCTGAAGAAACTGCTTATGGAATCCATAACAGTTGAAAGCTTGACATAGTATGTTGACAACTGCATGGACTATTGTGCATGAGGTGTTAAATCATTCTCAGATGTTTTGGAATAAAACGGTTTAACTGAGAAGCAGCTAATCTGTTTTCTTCAAAAGTTGAACTGAGGCTAAGGGACCATGTATCTGTCCCATCAGCATCTGAATATAGCCTATTCCTATAGCCACTGTGAGCCAAACTGGACCTCCGCCCCCCCCCCCCCCAAGTGGAAATAACAAGGAGAGGGGATGGTACAAAAAAGTAGATGCTGAGAGAGATAGAAAGTTTGGCAAGGAGCAAAAGATAGAGCTGATGTATGTTGACATTGGTTTGTTGAGAGTGACTAAAAGCAAAGGTTAATTATTGGCTTAGTGCAGAGTCACAAAAATTATGAGCTTCAATATATGTATGTAGAAAAGCTTTGTAATGGTAGAAACTGTGTAGAAAAGATCTGTAGGCCTACTTGTAAAAACGAATAAAATCTCTAAACTAATTGTTACATAAGCTAAATATTGAAAATAAGTGATGGAGAATAAGATAATATGGCAAATAGGGAGACAGTGATGTAGAATGCGGACACAAGATGGCGGTAGTGAGACACTATAATGCCGAACTGCCGTGAAACACCAGAGAAGAACAAGATATGTAAGGATATTTATGCTACACCGGTGGGTAGCAGTAGAAAGTTAGTGTTAAAAGCTTAATGAAAAACGTCATGGGTACAGGTCAAACCCAGTACATTTATGGTTGTTCAAAAGAACAAGGACTTGAGTTTTATCTAACTGAGAAAAATTGTCAACCAAACAGCAGGTGAGAATGTTACCACACTGTATACCAGAGTAATATGAGCTAACAAAGTGGTCGCTGTGTGTGCAAATTACAATCACTGGCAATGGGTCCGAGCACTTGCAAACCACAATAGAGCTGGAGGGGAGTGGCTGATGGGTGTACAAAGCACTTAAATGTGCCTAAATGTTAATTGATGTATCATATTTTGTGCTTTAGGTCATTTTAGGTATTTTTTGCAGTAAACCTTGCAGTTCTTTACTAAATCTAAAGCAGCTGCTGCCAGTGCATAAACATAACCAGAAAAAAAAAACAGAAAAAATATTGATAATGATGTAGTTACTCTAAACACTGTTGCTGAATGTGTTTTTACAACTTTCCAGATGCACTAATAAATAATATTTCCTTAATATTTTAACATAAAATGGAAACTAGCATTCATAATGTTTATATAAAAATTCATTTTCTGTTGCAAAATAATTGCATGTGAAGCTTCTAGGAGGCAGGGTTGAAGTGTTTTGTTAATTCACCAGCTCTACAGTTATGATAGTGGATAGAGAT